ATATATATATATATATATATAGCGCTCTACGATTATTTATTTCTACATAATAATAAGAGTTTAACTTTTAAGTTGCACAAGTTGTGTATACTTGTTCGCTGTAAATCATTTCAAGTCGTGATTAGAAAAGAACGATACACTTATCAATATGTTTCCAAACTTAGAATTTGGAACGCTGTCTGGAATTCTACTTCGTAATCTACAGTTTGCAGTGTACATAGAGCCGGTGAGATGCTTTCCTGACGCGTTGATCCGAATGATAGTGAATTTTGCACATCGGATTTGTATAGTTTGCGGTTGAAGATTTTTAAACTTTTAGTAAAATTATAGAAAACAATAAAAAAAAAGAAAAAAATGTAGCGAAAGAAAATCGTTACTATTATAATGGTTTTCGAGCAACACAAATTCTAATAAATGGTATAACTTTTAAAAGATATATCTTTCTATACTTATAGATACATTGATATATTTTGCTTCATATTCGTGATCTGTTGAAAATCTTTGCATTCGAGGCGAGTGGCGCGAACTTTCATTTTTATTTTATTTTTTTCTTGTATATACTTTATGTACATATAAAGATACGTAAATTATAGATACGGTGCCATATCTGTTGAAACTTACGTTTTAACATAATCTGCATTCGTGAGCCGCGCAAAATTGTGGAAACCTTAAACGTCTAATACCAAAATCACGACTAGATGATTCGGATTGTACATACTGCGATTTTGTATTGCGCCACTAATTTGAAATTTTTTGAAAGGTGTTTTTTCCATGCAATTTTTTTTGTCTTTTTTTATAGAATAAAAGGGAAATGTTTCAGAAAAGGCTTTTAAAACATTTAAGCTTTTCATAATTATGCAATTGACTCGCTATGCATAGGTAAATTAAGTTAAAGATTAAGTTATATTAAGGATGATTTTTATATTCATTCCATTTCGGGAGTTATATACCTTTATGATTGTTCTAAGATATGATATCTCAGGGATTTTTAAATAGTAGTGTACACATGTATTGATATACTCGTTACTATTTATATATTGATAAATTAACTAAAAAAAATTAAAAAGAATATCTAGAGGCATGATAGTGCTAAGCAAACGAAGCGTCATGGTGCGAGATAGAAATTACTTCAGAAAATTCTCTATAAAATTTTACTGCTACAACCAAGTCAAATTGTTTAACAGCAAAGAGAAGATTCGTTGCTACACTGGATATAAACTACGTAAAGAGTAGTTAAACGAATATTTAAGAATCTCTGAGATTGTATAAATTATGATTACGTATGGGTCATAATTAACACGTGTAGTAACGTAATTATTAAAATACAAATACCGTGCTGCGATAACGATTTACTCTTCATGTGGAATCATAATCGTTAAAAGATTGGCGATGTTAATTAGAATGTTAATAAGAAATATTTGATACTTGCATGCATTTATATGAAAAAGAACGGAAGTGTCTAAGCAGAATATAATTAGATGTTTATTATACCGCGTTATAGAAATGAGACGAATTGTTCTCAAGGTTCTAAAAAATGTATAAAAGAGAATCACTTTATAATTTGTTTAATGTTAATATGAAATTTCTATTTTGAAAAAGTTCTTTTTTGCATAATTAAATCCATTGTGAAAACGATGCAATTGTGATCTTTGTATCATATAGGGTGTATTTGTTTACGCAGCGGTTAGCGCAGAGAGTATCATTTAATCCTTGTTTAACACTCGATGAACAACAAGGATAAAGTAATATTTCTGCGCTAACCGCTGCGTAAACGAATACAGGGATAGAGACATTTGCTATGCAATCGAAATACTGTCGCACATAATATTTTGTGCTTCAATATAAGTGTCTTTTAGCTTTACACAAACGTGTTTATTAGTTGCATCGGAATTAAGGTGTATACGAATTGCCTTGATTTTATATCGTTGTAATTGTTATAAATGTAATGTTAAAAATGCTCAATTTCTGTAAAACACATACTGGCTTTAGCAGATGATACTGCGATGTGCAGATTAAATGAGCACATTGAATTTTCGAGATACTTGTACGGTATTTGTATATCTGCGCACTTGTATAATCTTGTAATGGTAATAAATTAATTACTTCCAAGCCTATTGTCTACACTGTCTTATTATGCAGGGTGTCCCAAAAAGGTCGGGACACCTAAATATCTCGGGAAATATAAGTTTTACAGAAAAGTGTTTCAGACAAAAGTTATATGGTTTAAAAATATCTATTTACTGATGCTATCAGTTTGACCTTGGGTTGCGTAGCCAAGGTCAGGTCAAGGTTACATTCATTTTCTGAAATGGAACACCCTATTTTTGATTCAAGAATCTAATAGCTGATGTCGAGAGCTTTCCAAAACGCTATAATGAAATATTTTTTCATGAAGCACTTTTCAAGTTATAATGCTTCAAAGTTACAGTATCGCCGGCACTAGTATTACCCAAGATATGTAATACCACGCGTTATGTTTTTGTTTGTGCGTTAACTGAAAGTCAAGATTTACAGACCACCGATCGATCTCTTGCCTTGACTGGCCAGTCTCCAAAATTAAATATTTTGGGTAATGCTAATGCCGGCGATACTGTAACTTTGAAGCATTATTGAAAAGTACTTCATAAAAAAATATTTCATTATAGCGTTTTGGAAAGCTCTCGACATCAGCTATTAGATTCTTGAATCAAAAATAGGGTGTTTCAGAAAATCAATGTAACCTTGACCTGACCTTGGCTACGCAACCCAAGGTCAAACTGATAGGATCAGTAAATAGATATTTTTAAACCATATAACTTTTGTCTGAAACACTTTTCTGTAAAACTTATATTTCCCGAGATATTTAGGTGTCCCGACCTTTTTGGGACACTTTGTATACAGCCAAACACAGTTAAAAAGAATCAAATAGTATTATATATCAAAGTGATTATGGATTCCTATATTCCTAATCTTCTGAAATTAATGAATCGATCTTTAAATGTTCTTACTGTTTGTTTTTGGTATGTAAATCTGACAAAAGAAAATTTATCTTTTTAAACCCAGAAAGAGAATCAGTTTGTGTAAAATGCTTTATTACAATAAAATTTTCAAAAATTTCATATTAAAGTTAAAAAAGTCATTGTAAATATACTAAATTTCTATTATTAAATTATTTATTAATTACTAAAAAAAATTAACATAAAGATTTACTAAATTAATTATAAAATGATCAATATAAAATGAATTAATATTGCATTATAAACTAATTGTTCACACTTATGTTCAAAAATTTTTATGTCAAAAACAATATTAATATTTTTCTCAATTATTACGCTCTTAGCGTTTTACTCATAATCACGAAAATTTGACAGTTTGAAGCAAAATGAAGCTGAAGAGTAAACGTGCCTATGTTTTAGATAGAACTCACTAGGGCTTCCATGTGAACAAAATATATACGTTAAACTATGTAACCGTGGATATTTCCGGCGGATAAGATCCATGGTTTTCGATTTTGTTCCGCATTACGTACACTGGTTTGGTTCTACTCATTGTTATGTCCACAGAATATAATTGCCTTATAATGCATTATAATAATTGTAGGAA